AACTTAAAAATTCCCAATAAAAACCCAAACACAAAGCTGTCACTTCCTTTTGCCCATATTCTCTTCTAAGTTAGCACTTCTATTACATTTTAAAAGTACGTTTTCCTTATCACTTTAAATTATACTTGCTCCTTAATGCACACACAATCACAGGTTAAAAAACAACTCGCAGTCCCAATTCACAAACTCATAACTAATTCAATCACTTTCAGCACACTGCTGAATTTCCACTTTTCAGTCTTGGGTATTATGTCGAGACACTGCCCATTTTTTCCTAAGGCTCTGGGATTCTGTACCCACAGCCTGCTTACTTGTGAAAAGAAGGAATAAGGGGCACAGCAGGGAGCAGGGAGACTAGGAAGCTGCTCTTCATTTGTCTTTGCAGGTCTACTGTTGAACGTGCATGTTGTAGCTCCGGATCTATTCCTGGGCGGTATAACATCACTTCTTACAAGGGAAATGTCCTCAGACAACAGCACATGGATCTTCCCATTGCATTCTTTGTATTATTTACTTCATTGTTTTTGTTTTCCTGGGGCCTAGCAGTGTCTCTAGCTCAATAAACATGACAGCTAAGTCAGCAGAGTGCCGACTGAGAACAGGAAGGAGTAACACATTTTTATTATATGTAAAAGAATACTTTGGGGGCAGCACAGAGAGAATGAATGAAAGGCAAGGAAGCCTGACCAACTTTATTTAGGACTGTGCAGTATGGGAACTTCCTGTCCCACAGATATCACTTCTGCTCATTCCTACCCTACACGGTCATTCTGTTTGCTTTCTGAAATATGCCTGCTTCCTTAACATCGAGGCTCAAACAACACCATCTTAAAGAATTCTTCTTAGATCATTCTACCTAAATCAGGGTGCCCAACTTGTCCTTGTCCCCTCAGCCCATCTGACTTACTTTATAATAAACATTACCATACATAATGATCATATTTTTCCTTATTTATCATTTCCTATCTCTCAAAAACGGACACTGTATGAAGAGTAACTAGTTTAGGTCAGTGGTGACCAGCACTTCAGGAAATGCCTGGAATATCCTACAGTGCAACATCTATTCACTGATCATCTACATAATAGCATTTGGACACGCACTTACCATTTCATTTTTCACTTTTAGACATTTGTACAGGTGTCTCAAGACATAGGTGCTCTGCCAATAAGGTGGGAGCAGAGGAAGTAGAAAGAGGAACCAGTTTCCCACCTTCCTTGGAGTCGTGTGGAGGGCTCCTAGAGTTCTACTAATGGTGACAGAAGGGGCTGTCTTCCAAGTATGAATTTCCTCTTCTCCCTTCCAAACTCCCGCGAACACACACCAGCTGTGTTAGTCTATGCTGTGGCCCTGGCCAGAACATCTGCCTCAATGGTTTCTCAATTCTGCCTTCAGGGAGCTCAAGACATGGGAAGGCTTTGAACTGTGCTGTCCACCACTGTCAACCTGAACTCTCTGCAAACCTGAGGAACTCAGTAAGTTGTTGTGGAAGGAGCTTGTATATCTGTTGAGAGGGAGGGCGATACTGTGCTGTTACTCCTAAGAGGTTCTTCATATCTGGTAAGGCTGACTTCTTAAGAAAAAACCAAGTTTTCATTTCTCTACTTCCTTTTCATGCTGTTGTTCCCACCATTGCCATTTCTCAAGCTTTTGTGTTACAGGGAACCTAGACAATGCCTGTTGCTGCTGCTGCAGTACTAGAAGATCACCCATCTCTGAATACTGACTTCGTCTCTGCCACTAGCAGGCCTACACGGGCATCTTTCACTCTATGGATGGCTGTCAATCGACTTGGGTGGGCAAGTTTAGCCAAGACATGAGGATGTGCACGTGTAGGAGTCACTAAGCCAAGTTCTGACTAGCATCTTCAGACTTTTGAAAGTCAATGTTCTGATCCTTTCTTGTTCACTTATGTTTATTTCTGAACTAACCCCAATCAGGGAATGGGAGCAGGATATGATTTACTAGACAAATCAGACTTCAAAACAGATAAAGGAAATAACAGATGATATTCAATAACAATGCCTTATGAAGATCTATATTAAAAAATATCCCTAGCCAGGCACAGCAGCACAGGACTTGAAAGGAGGGGCAAGAAGATTTGGGCCCCATGCCAACCTACGTTATGTAGTAAGACTTTTGTCTTATAAACCAAAACCAAATCACCTCTTCCTCTCCAGAAAACAATCAGAGGGCAGAATGGAAGCACAGTAACAATGAAAAGTCTAAAAGGAAACAGGATTAATTTTTGATGCTCAACTGATTTTCCAGAGACTGGAGGTCTGTTCTCCAGTCACAGAAGCTGGTATGTCCAGAGACCTGCCTTAAAGATGTGCTTATTAGCACTACAAAAAATGATGAGAAATGGGTTTTAGCAGGAGAAGATTAGGTCAGGGTGGAGATGTCCTTGAAGGGGATATTGGGACCAGCTACGGACTTTCTGCTTCCTAGCTACCATGAGTTGAAAAGGCTGCTCCCCAAAGAGCCTGACACCATGGTGTGCTGTCCTGCTGCAGGTCTGAAGGCAACAGGGTTAAATGATCATGGGCTGTTTGAAACTTGAGTCAAAACACACTCTTTGAGATGACCATTAGCAAATTTGCCTAGTTCAGACTCAAGTGCACTTTAGCAGTCTAGCCTTCCTATAATCATGCTTGCTTTACTTTCAAGGTCCTACAGGGATCCATTTGGAATCAGTTAAGAAATTATCCCTGCAATGACAGTTTCTTGGTGTGTCCTGACTAGAAACAACTTTGGACTGGTCCAGATATTGCTATATCGATTGAGAACACAGTGAATTCACATTTCTTTCAAGTGAACTGATATCTCTGGAGCTCTGCTAAAATTTCACTATGACAGAGGTTAAAACCTGCTTCAAAATGGGCTCTATTTCCCATGGTTTGATATTTATATCAGGCAGTATAGGTGGAATTCCCTCAACTCATTCCTAGATAAATGTTTATGACTAAATCTATTTTCCAAAGGCAATAACCTCAAAGAGTTGTTGATGATTCATTTATTAAAGATATTAATGTGTTTACATAAGCAAAACGTATGGAATAAGAATAGCACTTGGGGAAGTCTAGTAGTTTTTCACCAGTGCTAGGATCTCTTTATCCACCTTCACAGGTGATTTAGTTGCAGTCTTGGCAATCACAAGGAGGTCTGAAGGTCCAAGTCTCCAGATTCTCCCCTACTCTGCACATACTCCGTGTATAAGGGCAAACATTATGAAGAATGAAAGTATACTTGTGCAATGGAGAGTGCACCATTCTGTAGGGAGACTCCAGTCCATCAAGCATGCAGGAAATTTGTTTCATCTCTAGACTCAGAGAACTTGAACCATCCCTCTAAATATCATAACTGTCTTTACAAATTCATCAATCACTTCCCAATAATTATTTATCCAATTCCTTGCCTTTAAAGTACCCAATATTTTTCTTTTTTTCTTTTGGATTTTCGAGACAGGGTTTCTCTGTGTAATAGTACTAGCTGTCCTGGAACCAACTCTTGTAGACCATGCTGGCCTTGAACTCAGAGAGATCTACCTGCCTCTGCCTCCAGAGTGCTGGGATTAAAGGCGTAGACCATTACCTCCCGGTTTCTTTCTTCTTCTTTTAATAGCTAGAGTTTGATGACACATTAAAAAGAGAAAAAAGAAATTCCCACCAAATTATGAGCTTTTAAAAGCTAGTCTGGAAGAGCAAGAGTCGAAATCAAACCCTGGCCTGGGCTATCATTATTGTGCTGACTCCCTCACTATGTTTTTGTGATGTTTGGCCATGCAGGCTGCACCTTGACCATCTATAGTGTTGGTCTTCTTGGTCACTTCATTTAAGCTGAGTGTTAGAGGAATCTCACACACTGAAGACACACGGAAAAACTTCAAACTCTCTAATTTCAGTGTGGACTTTATGATTATTTTTTAACTTTTTCCAATTTTCCAGCAGTCCATATTAAAAACAGCCATCCCAAAGTATCTCCTCCTCTCTTCTCAGATCTAATTCTGGACAGCTCAACCCACTTCCTTTGGTTGCTACACATATAAATCAATCATCTTAGATGATTTTACCTCTCCGCTAGGTTTGGCATTCCCACTTTTTGCTTTTCTTGGTGTTTTACCTATTCAATGGTCAATGATTACACTCCATTAGGAGAGGTAAGGCGATTCCAAAACTTTTGTCTCTGGCCTTATGCTTCCAATCTGCTTTCTAAAAATTCCTGTAGGAATGTCTAAACTGGCCACTCATTTTTGGTTTCTCATACTATTGTTCTTGTTGACATTTTGCCCTACAACCAATTTAATGTTGAGTAAGCATTGCGAAGGAGTCCAGAGCTTCATGGCTGCCAAGGGCTCATGAAGCAATCTGTCTAGGGTTTGAGAATATTGGCCAAGTGCCTGACGCTAAATATTTTGTGGCTTTGGTAGTTTCTGTTGCCAACTTATTTACAGCCATCACTGTAAAATGAAGTTGACCAAATATACATGGGAATGTGCTGTATTCAAACAAAATTATTAAATAAATAGATGGCAGGCATCAAGGTAATACTTTCCTAAATTTTTTTAAAATCTTTATTTTTAGCTGCAGGGATTTATATATGCTAGGCAAGTGTTCTCCCACTGACTCACATCCCTAACTCCAAATTAGGTTCTTGATAGATCAAATACTAGCTTTTGCCTTTTAACCTTAATGTTGAGTATATGTTACTTCTTCAAAAACTATTTACCATATTTAGCAACCCATCTTTGATTCTAACATCCCTTCACCAGGACAAAGAACTGCCAATGGATTATTTATATTCACCGGCTTCCTTTGAAGCCATGGTGATTAGTGGGAAGGGTTAACATCTACTTTTTATTTAGTTTCTTTTTCTGGTCAAACCCCTAAAAGCTGATACCACTGCACGAAGCACAGCAGACAATCTATAACTAAGCCACATCTGTCATGACATCCTGGAAGTCAGGGCAGCTAACACAAAGAGCAATCATCCTAATGGTTACCTGCAAGTCATTTTGTGGGTTCCAGTCAGAATCAAATATGATGCAGGTATCAGCAGCTGTGAGATTGATCCCCAGGCCTCCTGCTCTGGTGCACAGAAGAAAAACAAAGCGGTCTGAGTCTGGCTTACAGAACCGGTCGATGGCTGCCTGGCGCAGGTTTCCCCGTACTCGCCCATCAATTCGCTCATAGGTGTATCTGAGGGGACCCAAATGAATAAAAGCCCAAGTGTTAATCATGGTTTAAAGAATAAACAATCAGAAAGCTAATGCCCAATGGTCTCAAATCCTCCCCTTCTCAATTTAGGCCAAATGACAACAGCCTTAAAGAAATCCCACCCCCTACAGAAGAAATATAGCAGATTAAAACTGCATCAAAAAATGTCTCCCTTGTGAAACAATTAAAAAAAAACAAAAACCAAAACAAAAAGCCAGGATAACTACAAGAGTTAAAATCACAAAGTACTGATTCCCAATAAGTTGTCTAAATAACTTATTCTCACAAATTTCTCAGTTTATACTGCAGAGAATCTCATTCTACAATTTTCCTGGCAAAAAAGCAGATGTCAGCAGTGCTTGTATCTGGGGTTCAGAGTTGACTTCAGTTTCCAGTTGCTCAGAGTAATTGGAAGTGGTAAGGAGCCTGTACGGGCAGACCTGGTCTATAAAATGGCCATTTCCACCTTGTCAGTTTTTCAAAATGTTAGATGCACAGAGCAAAACCTTCATGTGTATAGTCAAATCATAGAAAGGGTTTCTAAGATGTGCTAGGGATAAGAATGTTGTAGAAAATGATTTTAAGGTGTGTGACTTTTGTTTATGCTGCATTTGTCTAACTCTGTGAAGTTGTGATTCTTTATGGTCTAAAACACTCACTGGTCTAACAAAGAGCTGAATGGCCAATAGTGAGGAAGGAGAAAGGATAGGCGGAGCTGACAGGCAGAAAGGATAAATAGGAGGAGGAGAAATCTGAAAAAAGAAAGAGGAGTAAGATAGAACAAGGAGAGGAGGACACCAGGGGCCAGCCACCTAGCCACACAGCAAGCCATGGAATAAGAGTCAAAGTAAGATATTCAGAAGTAAGAAAAGGTAAAAGCCCAAAAGCAAAAGGTAGATGGGCTAATTTAGGTTAAGGAAAGCTGGCAAAAAACAAAGCGAGCTAAGGTCAGCCTTTATAAGTAAGAATAAGCATCCATGTATTTATTTAGGAGCTGGGTAGCTGGGGTCCCTAAAAGAGCAAAGAGCCAAAAGAATAACAAGGGCTGGAGAGATGGCTCAGTGGTTAAGAGCATTGCCTGCTCTTCCAAAGGTCCTGAGTTCAATTCCCGGCAACCACATGGTGGCTCATAACCATCTGTAATGAAGTCTGGTGCCCTCTTCTGGCCTTCAGACATACATGCAGACAGAATATTGTATACAATCTAATAATATAAAATAAATATTAATAAGAAAACAACAAGGAAGACTAAAGAACAAGAAGAGGGCAATGGAGTGAGGTGGGAGGGCACCTGCAGACAGATAAGAATGATTTGGACAGCATGGTGGGATAAAGTGGGGTAAAGGTAAGAGGATAAAGAATGGAAAATGAAAATGTTCAAAGGACATATTGTTACTGACCATTCAGAAAATAAAACAAAACACAGGTATGTTTATGTAGGATACCATGAAATAACAGAGCAGTATGGCTTAACAGCAATCTTTTTTTTTTCCTGTATCTTTTTATATCCTTCCTACCGACTCCATTGACAATGGATTCCTGACAAGTTACTCTGGCACCAAACTGATAGTCAAGTAGAAAGATTAAGAACATTCTGAGAAAAAGGCTGAGCCTGGGAGCTCAGTGGTTCGAGTACTGGCTGCTCATGCAGAGGACCTGGGTTTGAGTCCCAGCAGCTACATTGTGGTTCACAACCATCTATAACTCCAGTTCCAGTGTATCTGACATCGTCTTCTGTCATCCTTGGGTATCAGGTATGCACACAGACATGCTTGTAGGTAAAACATCCATATACATAAAATAAATAAACCTGAAAAACTGTTTTTAAAGAAAAAGACCAAGTCATTTGAAACCTATCAATGCCAAGACCACAAACTGATTCAGAAAAACAAATCTCTAAAACCCAGAGCAATTCCTGGTTAGAGTAAAAAGACAGACAATGTGGGTTGATGATTCTGTGGGGAAATGGCCCTGAAAACAAAATTCAGCAAGATAGCCCCAATTTGGACAAGAAAAGGAAGTATCATATAAGGACACCAGCCAAGGAAATGCACAGAATAAAACCTAAATGAAGACTTACAATGCAACAACAAAGCAAAAAAGCCACACTGGGATACTATCTTTCCCTCATATACTCACAAGGTAACCATTCCTACAAGTATGTGCATGGTTTCTGTTACTGTCTTCTTTTAAGAATAGACTATATCCAAGAGTAACATTTTAGGGGAGCCACAGTAACAAATGACAGGAGACTAGATTGTCAGAAAGGCTGACCAAAGAGATTTTGTGACCTAAAATGAAAAAAACTAAGGGCTACATGTATATATTATAATCTAGTACTTGTAACCACCATAACACTGATACATACAAATTCTTAGGTGTCTGCTGTGTACCAGATATTGCAGCATACACTTTGCTGTAGAATATTAGAGATGTGTTACATTTGTTTATGCTGTGGAACATTTGTTTAATGATGCAAAGATGCATTCCATTCTTTTATGTTACATTTGTTTAACTCTGTTAAGCTGTGTTACTGTTCCTATATAAAACACCTGATTGGTCTAATAAAGAGTTAAGCAATCAATAGCAGGGCAGGAGAAAGGATAGGCAGGGCTGTCAGGCAGAGAGAATAAAGAGGAGAGAGATCTGAGAGGAACAAGATCTAGAAGCACCAATCATACCACAAGGACATGTGCTCAACTATGTTCATAGCAACATTATTTGTCATAGCCAGAACCTGGAAACAACCTAAATACCCCTCGACCTAAGAATGGATAAGGAATATGTGATACATTTATGCAATGGAGTACTACACAGAGGAAAAAAAAATAAGGATATCTTGAAATTTGCAGGCAAATGGGTGGATCTAGAAAACATCATATTGAGTGAGGTAACTCAGACTCAGAAAGACAATTATCATATGTACTCAGTCATAAGTGGCTTTTAGATATAAAGCAAAGAAAAACCAGCCTATAATTTATAACTCCGGAGAACCTAGACAACAAAGAGGAGCCTAAGAGAGATATACATGGATCTAATCTACATGGGAAGTAGAAAAAGACAAGAACTCCTGAGTAAACTGGGAGTATGGGGGTCATGGGAGATGGTAGAAGGGGAGGGGGAAAAAGGAGGAGTGGAGAAAAATATACAGCTCAATAAAAACAATTAAAAAAAAAAGATATAGGAGCAAGAGAAAGAGGACTCCAGGGGCCAATCACCCAGTTACACAGCAAGCCTCAGAGTAAGAAGTAAAGAAAGGTAGACAAGATGAGATAAGGAAAGTCGACTAGATATAAACCAAGTTAAGGCCAGGCATTTATAAATAACGATAAGATGCCTTATATTTATTTGGGAGCTGGATGGCGGGCCCCTCCAAAGAGTAAAGAGTAAAAAACAACCAACTACAATATTTGATTATGCATTTAATTCTCACCACAATCCATACAAACAAATTACCATGCTCAGCCCTAGCTGGTAATCAAGTTGAAGCCAGATCCACCTGACAATGATTGTTCTTATAGTAGCCCACATTTCAATGCTGGACAAAGGAGTTTGTCCAAGAACTAGAGAGAGCAATTAAAGACAAGTTAGGGACACTAGTAAAGTTTAGGAACTTGTAACTCTGACTGAAGACCCATCGAACATACCTAACTATCAAAATGGTGTCATAAAGCAATGTTGCAATCTTTACTGGGCTTTGCGTGGTGGGGCAGAAGCAGCACAGGCCTTAGAGCGAGAAGACAGGTCTGGATTCTATTAAACAATAATCTCCTTCCCTTCTTGTCAACAATCAATGCTACAGGAACAGAGGATGGGGTCTTATGACAAGACATCCCTGAGCATCAAAGAGAAGCCAGAGGCCTGCAGATCATAGTGAGGTGGAAATTAGTACAGCATTCCGGAAGGAAGAAATCAACAAATAGGGATGACAAAGCTTGGACATCACCTGGGGAGGCATGGCAAGGATGGGTTGTGTCCATAAAGCAGAAAGCATTTTGGCAGCTATAACATAACAATAGTTTTAAAAAACGGTATGTGTGCAGAATGGCAGAGACGATTCTCATTCTATCACTTGTTTAATTTTGAGAGAGTGCTCTCAAAGAACAAACAACTAAAAATGGATTTATCTGAACTTTTAAATCACTCCCAACTCCCCCTTTATTTCTGAGCCAGATCTTCTAGCTCTGCCCCCACTTCTGTATGAATCTGGCATGAAATTAAATGAGGACAAAACCAAACTGACAGCTGGAGCAGTAAAGACACTCAAGAACAAAGAAAACCTGGAAGGCTAATAAGTTCGAATGAAGAAAGCAGATACCAGAAAATTTTCCACACTAAACTTCAGCAATTAACCCTCTGTGACAACTGTATTTTGAATAAGGTCCTTAGGAATTAATGGGGCTCATCAAGCTGTAATTCTGAGAAACTCGTATGTCAACAAGAAGCAGGTGGCACTCTGGATAAACCTCTAAGGGACTGGATGGGGGTGGAGATGACATGTTTTTGGCACAAGAGTTGTTGACCTCAGAAAACCTGAAGGGAAATGAACAATTTTCTTGTCTGCTAGCAATAAGCAGTTGGAAAACACACACACACACACACACACACACACACACACACACACACACACA